AATTTCTGTTCATGTATTTTGCCCATTTCATGATTGGTTTGTTTGTTTCTTGGGTGTTGAGTTTAATAAGTTCTTTATAGGTCTTGGAATCTAGCCCTTTATCTGATAGGTCATTTGCAAATATCTTCTCCCATTCTGTAGGTCGTCTTTTAGTTTTGTGGACTGTTTCTTTGGCTTTGCAGAAGCTTTTTATCTTGATGAAGTCCCAATAGTTCATTTTTGCTTTTGTTTCCCTTGCCTTCATAAATGTATCTTGCAAGAAGTTGCTGTGGCCAAGTTCGAAAAGGGTGTTGCCTGTGTTCTCCTCTAGGATTTTGATGGATTCTTGTCTCACATTTAGATTTTTCATCCATTTCGAGTTTATCTTTGTGTCTGGTGTAAGAGAGTGGTCTAGTTTCAGCCACATGCAGGAGAATGAAACTAGACCATTCTCTTACACCAGACACAAAGATAAACTCAAAATGGACTATGATTCTTAACACCTATAATTGTCTGGAAGTATATCAGAAACCTACTAAATATTTTAGGAAATTGTGTTGCCAAAGAAACCATAACCTGGCTTGAAGAAGCCTGTGGTTGTGTCTAGGTATAAATATCTTTGAGCTTATCATACTTGGGGTGTGTTGAGCTTTTCTGATGTATAATGTTTTTCATCAAATGCAGGAAGTTTTTGATCATAATTTCTTCAAGTATTTTTTTCTGCTCCTCTTTCTTTCTCCTCTCTTTCTGGTACTGTCATTATGCATTATATATATACATCACTATGCATATATGAGGCTGCATGTTTGAGATTATCCAGTCTGAGGACAGAAAGAAAAAAGAATGAACAAAAATGAACAGGGTCTCAGAAACCTGTGAAACACCATCAAACATACTGACATATATATAATGAGAGTCCCAGAAGAAAAAGTGAGAGATCAGAAAGACTATTTGAAGAAATAGTGGTCAAAATCTCCCCAAATTTGATTACAAAATCAATCTACACATGCAAGAAGCATAGCAGGCTCCAAGTCAAATAAATTCAAAGATATCTGCATCTAGACACTCCAAATGAAACTATTGAAAGCCAAAGAGAAAATCTTGAAAGCAGCAAGGGAAATGCAACTCATCAGGCAAAAGATCCCAAAAAAAAAGATTCACAGCAGATTTCCAATCAGAAATCTGGGAGGCAAGAAGTTGTGAGTTGACATCTTCAGAGTCGTGGGAAAAAAGACTGTCAAGTATTCTATATCAAGAAAATCACCCTTCCAAATTGAAGGAGAACATAAGGATAACAAAAGCTAAGAAAATTCTTCATTTGCACACCTGTACTACAAGAAATTATATACCAAAGGGAACTTTCAGGCTAAAAACTACACTGCAGTATCATTTCTCACCTGTTAGATTTGCCAAACTTCACAAGCTTTTCAACACTATTTTGGTGAGGTTTCAAGAAATAAGCACTCTCATACATTTCTGATGGGAATTAAAAATAGTCCATTCCCTGTTGAGGTGAATGTAGTATTATCTAATTATATATATATATATATATATATATATATATATATATATATATATTTCCTTTGACCAGCAATCTCATGTTTAAAAATTTACCCTGGAAATGAACTAGGGGTGGTAGAAGGGGAGGTGGGCGGGGTGGGGGGGTGGGGGGGTGGGGGGTGGGGGTGGGGGGGTGGGGGGGACTGGGTGACAGGCACTGAGGTGGGCACTTGACGGGATGAGCACCGGGTGTTATTCTATATGTTGGCAAATTGAACACCAATAAAAAAAATTTTATATATATAAAAAATTTAACCTAGGATCCCTGGGTGGCTCAGCGGTTTAGCGCCTGCCTTTGGCCCAGGGCGTGATCCTGGAGACCCGGGATAGAGTCCCGCTTCGGGCTCCCCTCATGGAGCCTGCTTCTCCCTCTGCCTGTGTCTCTGCCTCTCTCTCTCTCTCTCTCTCTCTCTCTGTGTGTGTGTGTGTATCATGAATAAATAAATAAAATCTTAAAAAAATTTACCCTGAAGACACATCTCTAGGAATATGAAAATACATATGCACAAGGTTATTCATTGTCCCATTATTTGTAATTATTTGTAAACAGAATACAGAAAAAAAACAGAAATGCTCATACATAAGAAATTGGATGAATAAATTACAGGACATCCACACAATAGAGCATGCAGTTGTAAAAGATAATGAGGAAGATCTGTATAAACTGAAATGAAGGGATTTCTAGGATATAATGTAAAGTGAATAAAGCAAATTTAAAATAAATATGCTATCTTTTATGTAAGAGATAAAGGGAAACAAGAAACATAAACATATAAACATATAAACATAGTATATATATATATATATATATATATATATATACACTTTAAAAAGTAGCATAGGAAACACAAACCAATAACTAATGGAAATTACAACGTAGCAAATATAATGAGACAAATTGGCATAATCATTATGATTTTGCCAAAACACATAACCTGAATTTAATCCTAAGGAAGCATAAGAAAAACAAAAATCAGAGGATATTCTGCAAAACAACTGTCCTACACTCTTCAAAAGCGTCAGTATCATTAAAACTTTACAAAGTCCATTCTAAGGGGACCTGGGGGACTCAGTCAGTTAGGCGTCTGACTCTATAAGTACATATGTATATGTACTTATATATACTTATAATAGCAAAAAAAAAAAAAAAAAGACAGAAAATAGAATGGCAGTTTCCAGGTACTGGGAGGAGGAGAGAATGGGGAGTTGGAGGGGGGTGTTTGTTTTGTTTTAATTTTTTTTATGAAGTAATTTCTGTGCCCAATATGGTGTTCAAACTCACAACCTCAAGATCAAGAGTTGCATGCTCTACTGGCTGAGCCAGCTAGGTGCTCCAGGAGTTATTATTGTTTAATGGAAATAGAGTTTCAGTCTTATAAGATGAAAACTACAAGATGGAGAGTTATCCATCTCCACAGCTCCATCTTCATAGCATGTGATGGTTCCACAATATTATAACTGTATTTAATACCACTGAAGTGTACATTTAAAATGGTTAATATGGGTAAATTTTATGATAAGTGAGTTTTACCACAACACAAAATTGAAAACATATGTATGTGTGTTTGTGTGTCTAGAGAGAAAGGAGTGATAATGAAAAACTAGCAAAATATTAAAATTAGTGAATTTGAGTGATTGGTATACAAAATGTACTATTTTTTCTTTTTTAAAGATTTGTTTATTTATTTGAGAGAGAGAAAGAGAGCAGAGGGAGCGGCAGAGAGAAAGAGAATCCCAAGCAGACTCCCAGGTGAGGTGAGTCCCATGTGGGACCCCAAGATCATGACCTGAGCCAAAACCAAGAGTCAGGCACTCAACTCACTGAACCACCCAGGAACCTCATAAAATATGCTATTTTTGCTGTTTTTTAGGTTTGAAATAACTTCAAAATAAATTTTTAAAAAAGATATCGATTACCCATACCATCAGATGGTTTTTATTATAAAGGTCTGCATTAAGTGAATGTGTGATGTGATGATGAGTTTGAGAAATCACTATTGAAAGATGAGAGACGGTAATTTTGAAGAGTTGCAAAGCTCAGAATAAGTCCAAAAGAAAATAATTTCTGAACAATAACATTACCAAAATAGAACTTATGAAACATAGTTCTTAATATAGATCATGTTGGAAATAGGCTACTAGATTAGAATATGTTAAGAGTATGTAATTTTAAATAAGTAGTACAGGTTTTTTAAATAAGTAATTTTAAAATGAGGTAAAAATATATTAGACTTATTGCAAAGGGGAAAAATTGGCCAAATCTTGTGATGGGTAAGTTATGTCAAATAAAGAACTGAGAAATCAAAGATTTCAAGTTTTCCAGTATAGCTAACAATAATAGTTACACATCATAAGAGAAAAATGTAAAGAGATAAGAGTTTAGTGATAAATTTTTAAAATAATGACTTTTGTTGAAATATATTGGTAAATTGAGTAATCTACATTGTAGTACTAAATGGCTACACATGGTCATCCTCAAATTAAGAACTTTCCAAATACCCCACTAACCATCAATCACAAGTCCTTGAAAATACTATAGGATTAACTTGATGAGATGCTATGATCACACAAAGGAGAATGGGAGAATCAATGACTGCAAAGGATTCATGGTGACATCAGCCTTCGACTAAAGAAAATAGAAAATTAATCAAAACATGCATAAGGCATGCGAATTTTGGTGGCTTATTTTTCAACATTGCAATGTCATACATTGTTCCTAACAGAAGAAATCCTCTGACACTTACACAAAGCTGAAAACCAAAACATAAAAAACAGTCAAGAGAGAACCGTTAAGAATCAATTTAACCGTTTTACAGCTAAAAATTAATGTGACATAAAAATAGTGAAAGGTAACCCACAAATATATTCCGTTAGGGATTCATTTATAGTGCCTTCTTATCTGAAGTTATAAATAGAATAAGGATTTTGTTATATAAAAACTATCAAAAAAGTACCAGTGAAAAGACATGATCTTCATGAGCTGTACTGAATGGCCAGGGAACAAGTCCTGCCAGACACAGCAGGCTAGCTCCAGATACCAGCAGTTTGTCGGCTTGTCTTTCACAGAAGGACCCCAGAAAGTTCCATATACCCATGTATTGTTGACCTGATTCCTTTTTTTTTTTTAATTTATTTATGATAGTCAGAGAGAGAGAGAGAGAGAGAGGCAGAGACATAGGCAAAGGGAGAAGCAGGCCCCATGCACCTGGAGCCTGACGTGGGACTCGATCCCGGGTCTCCAGGATCACGCGCCGGGCTAAAGGTAGGCGCTAAACCGCTGCGCCACCCAGGGATCCCGACCTGATTCCTTTCTAGTACAACATTCAACATGTACCCATGGTTTCAATTACAGACTTAAGAATTTGGGTGGAGAGGGGCGGCGGAGCAGGCGACTATTTAGAATTTCCTTGGAAATTTCTGTACACATTATGATGTCCTGTGGAATGAAATTCCTTCCAAATCTCAATGAGCAAGCTCTTGATTATTGAGTCATGATATTTTCTTCTAATTTTTGCGTACAGTCTTTGTTTGATTAGATATCATATTGACAGCTTCAGAGGGCAGACCTACATATACCCCTCCATAGTTTCTCCTCTTGTCATCTTCCATTATCGATTCTTCTGTTGCATCTTTAGCTGCTCCTGCAGGGTCTCGGCGGGTCCCCGCGCTGGTGGCCCTAGAGTTACTGCAGCCCATCGCGCCGCTGGCAGGGTGAGCGGCGCTCGGGAGCTGGCGGCCTAAAATAATGACTTTTAGATGTTTTTAGGAAAACCAATCAGAGACAGGTTCACCTTTCACCTTTTCCATAGCAAGTTTTTCATTTCACTTTTACCCATTTCTAGCTTCCTTCTTAGCTGCTTTCTAAAATTTTAATACATTCTTGCTGCATACCTTTGGTTGTTTTTGGAAATCCTCCCCACCCACTCATCAAATTTTCCTCTAAAATTTTCCTTCCGAACAATTCTTTAAAATGATTATATTAGCTATTTCATCAAATGTAAGCAATTACTATATTACTATAGCTATGGTGAGCTCAAATTGCAATAGTCTTAAATATTATTCACATTTATATATAGTTAACTATAGATAATAGTTAATTATTATTAACTATACCCATTTCCATCTACTGTGCAAAAGTCCTGATTTTTTAATTAACTGTTTTCTGTAATTTTGGTAAGTTTTTCCTTGTTAAAGACTGTAATAGTTCGTTCAGGATTCTTTAATGAAATACCATAGACTGACTGGGTTAAGCAACAGATATTTATTCTCTCACTATTCCAAAGGCTGGAAGTCCAAAATCAGAATGTTAGTATAACCAGTTTCTGGTGAGAAACCTTCCAGGAGTGCAGACAACCACCTTCTGGCTGTGTCTTCACATGGTGGAGAGAGAAAGAGCAACTCTGATATTTTTTCTTTAAAGGGCATTATTCCCATCATGAAGATCTGATCTCATGATCTTATCTAAACTTAATTCTCCTCCAAATGCCCCATCTCCAAATACCTTCACATTGGGGATAATCCTTTAACATATGAATTGGAGGGGTGCATCATACAGTCCATAGCAAAAACCTGGCCTTTATATAAGTTTAATTTATATTAGTTTATGCCATTTTGATGTTATTCTTAATCCTGGCAGTAAAGATGGAGCAAGAGATCATTTAAAACACATCCATTAATCTGTAAAGTATAAAAGATCCAATTTATGTCTCTATTACCAACTTTGAATATTTCATTATTTAACATTCTCTTTGAAAATATGTTTACAAAAAAAATCTTGACAATAAAATGTAGTAATTTGAACATCTGAAATGCAAAATTAGTATTATTATAACAAATAAATGAAAATTGGTGATGATTTTGTGGTATACAATAGAATGTCACTTTTCTCTGTTCTCATTCTCAAATTCCCACATAAACATGTTAACCATGGCACCATCTTGTGGATATTTTATCAAATAGCTGAGCTGTGCAAACACGTATATGGAAACAATGAAAGCACATGTATCAGAAAAAAAGAAAAATTTAAAACAAAGTCTAACTTAATAAAATAAAATGTTGGCAAGTAATTTTCTTCAATTTCTTTCAAAGGGCTTTAACTAAGGATGCCTGAGTCGCTCAACAGTTGAGGGTCTGTCTGCCTTTGTCTCAGGGTGTGATCCTGGAATCCTGGGATGGAATCCCGCATCGGGCTCCCTGCATGGAACCTGCCTATGTCTCTGCCTCTCTCTCTGTGTGTGTCTTTCATAAATAAATAAATAAAATCTTTACAAAACAAAAACAAAAACAACCACCACCACCCCCAAAAAAAACCCCAAAAAAGAAAACAAAGGACTTTAATTATATAAGTGAACTCTTGAACCAGCTCCAGCTTGGTTACTTTTTCTTTTTAAGGCATTTTCTGTACTAACTGCTTATATTAAGTTTCAAACTGCCAACTGGTTCTGAATACACTAAATAGATTGTATTTAGTGTATATAACGTATGCACATGTTTGTTTACACATATAAATATAGGAGTACCTGGCTGGTTCTGTCAGAGGAGCATGCAACTCTTTATCTCAGGGTCATGAGTTCAAGCTGCACGTTGGGTGTAGAGATTTCTTAAATGAATAAATTTTTAAAAATACATATAAATGTGTGTGTATACTACAGTAATTTTATATTGATCTAACTTCAGGCTCTATTAGAAGATGGGAATTGACAGATTAGGTTAAAAAAATTAAAAAAAATAAAATAAAAAAGAAATTAAAGTTAGGGAGATCCCTGGGTGGCTCAGTGATTAAGTGCTTGCCTTTGGCCTAGAGCCTGATCCTGGAGTCCCGGGATCAAGTCCCACATCAGGTTCCCTGCATGGAGCTTGCTTGTGTCTCTGCCTGCCTTTCTGTCTCTCTCTCTCTCTCTCTCTCTCTCTCTCTCTGTGTGTGTGTCTCATGAATAAAAATAAATAAATAAATAAATAAATAAATAAATAAATAAATAATCTTTAGAAATTAAAGTTAGTTACCAATTGGCTATGAACAACTTACTTTGAATCTAATTTTTCTGAGGTAGAATGAAGCATACTGGCAATTGTCAAATATTAAAGGAGATATAATAAAACACACCAAGTTCTGATAACATCAAAACTATATATTATTTTTTTTAAGATTTTTATTTTTTTATTTATTCATGAGAGACACACACAGAGAAAGAGAGAGAGAGAGGCAGAGACACAGGCAGAGGGAGAAGCAGGCTCGATGCAGGGAGCCCGATGTGGGACTTAATCCCGGGTCTCCAAGATCAGGCCCTGGGCTGAAGGCGGCGCTAAACCGCTGAGCCACCCGGGCTGCCCTATATTATTTTAATATAAAGGATTTAAATGTCTATTTTTAAAAAGATTTTATTTATTTATTCATGAGAGGCACACAGAGAGAGGCAGAGACACAGGCAGAGGGAGAAGCAGGCTCCATGCAGGGAGCCCAATGTGGGACTTGATCCCAGGACCAGGATCACGCCCTGAGCCAAAGGCAGACGCTCAACCACTGAGCCATCCAGGCATCCCTGATTTATTTATTTATTTATTTTTAAAAGATTTTATTTATTTATTTTTAAAAGATTTTATTTATTTATTTATTTTTAAAAGATTTTATTTATTTATCAGAGACAAGGAGAGAGATGCAGAGACACAGGCAGAGGGAGAAACAGGTTCCATGCAGGGACCCCGACGTGGGACTTGATTCTGGGTCTCCAGACCCCAGGCTGCAGGCGGCGCTAAACCGCTGCACCACCGGGGCTGCCTAGATGTCCTTGATTTAAATGTCTATTGACTGTGATAGGAAAATATACTAAATATATTTTAATTAGAAAGGTATTGATCACAATGTTTTGATAACTTCGTCAGAGAGTATGTGGAAAAATCACTGGTGAAATTGATGAGATTTTTCAAAAAAATTACTGAAAGTGTTTTTCTGTAACACTTTCATTGTAAAGTTTCAGAATTTAGAGTTTACAATCACATTTAAAACCTTTCATTACTGGGGTGTACGGATGGCTCAGTTAAGCATCTTGATTTTGGCTCAGGTCAGGATCTCAGGGTCAAGAGTTGGAGCTCCAAGTGGGGCTTCATGCTGGGCATGGAGCCTGCTTAGATTCCCTCTCTGTGTCTCTCCCTCTGCCCTTACCCCCTACCTCATACACATGCTCTATCTCTCTCTCTCTAAAAAAAACTTAACAAAACTTCTCATTACCATATTTACACAAAAGAGAAAGGAAAGAGGAATAGCATCTCTTGTAAACCCTACTATAGGCCAAGCATTTAGATACATTATCAATAAAAAGTATACTAATCTTTTGAGTTGGTATAATTATTTCTACTTTTCAGGTAAGGAAAACTGAGACTCTGTAGTTATATAACTCACCAGGGTCATAGAGTAGTAAGAAGTCATAATTTTAGCTTAAGTCTTCAAAGTCTAAATTCTTGTCAAAACACAATCCTGCTTCCAAGAAATTTAGACAGATATCAGAGATTTTAGTCCAGAGATTAAAATAGAATCTTAAAATATATTTACTCAAAGTCCTATATGTATGCCAAATTAACATTGTTTAATTTTTCACATACAAAATTTAAAATATATTAAACTTAACATTATTGCATTTTGAGACAAAACTCTACCAATAAGACCATACTTTGAAAGTATAGAAATGCTAGGTATATTATTATAAAATTCTAGATAGCTGTAAATAAGAATAAAATATAAATAGAGAGCAAATTTTCTTTCTTTCTTTTTTTTTTTAGGGGAAGGAGGGGTAGAAGGAGAGAGAGAATCTTAAGCAGACTCCACACCCAGCATGAAGGCCAAGATGGGGCTTGATCTCATGACCCTGAGATCATAATCTGAGCTGAAATCAAGAGTTGAACACTCAACCAACTAAGTCACCCAGGCCCCCCCAAGACCAAATTTTCTTTTCCTTTCCTTTAATTAATTAACATATAATATATTATTGGTTTCAGAGGTAGAGGTCAGTGATTTAACAGTCTTATATAACACCCAACGCTCATTGCATCACCCAGTTACCCTCTCCCCTCTAGTGACTCTCAGTTTGTTTCCTATGATTAAGAGTTTCTTATGGTTTGTCTCCCTCTCTGATTTCATCTTGTTTCATTTTTTCCTCTCTTCCCCTATGATCCTCTGTTTTGTTTCTTAAATTCCACATATGAGTGAGATCATATGATAATTGTCTTTCTCTAATTGACTTATTTTGCTTAGCATAATACCCTCTAGTTCCATTCATGGCATTGCAAATGGCAAGATTTCTTTCTTTCTTTCTTTCTTTCTTTCTTTCTTTCTTTCTTTCTTTCTTTCTTTCTTTCTCTCTTTCTCTCTCTCTCTCTCTCTCTTTCTTTCTTTCTTTCAAGGCTGATATATATGAATATATTATTATATATTATATTATATATTAATATATATTATACATATTATTATCACATATTTTTTATCCATTCATCTACCGATGGATATCTGGGCTCTTTCTATAGTTTGGCTATTGTGGACATTGTTGCTATAAACACTGGGGTGCAGGTGCCCCTTCAGATCACTGCATTTGTATCTTTGTGATACATACCTAGTAGTGCAATTGCTGGGTCATAGGGGAGCTCTATTTTCAACTTTTTGAGAAAACTCCATACTGTTTTCCAGAGTGGCTGCCCCAACTTGCATTCCCACC